AATTATCATCCTATCACAGTGCTTGCCATCAAGTAACTCTTTTTTTTGTTTGTTTCAGGTATACAAAACAATGTAATATTTAGACATTTACACCCCTCACAAAGTGATAACACCCCCCCTCAGTCTACTACCCCTCTGACATCGTATATAGCTGTTACAATTCCATTAACTGTATTCCCTATGCTGTACTCCACATCCCATGACCATATTTATATTTGTTTATATTTATATTTATTAGCTGACATTCAATATTATTCAGCTTCAGGTGTACAGCGCAGTGGTCAGGCATCTATCTACACAGTCTATGAGTGGTCTGTCTCCCTAGTAAGACAAGTGTCTATCTGACACCCTCCAAAATCTTTACAACATTATTGATTACATTACCCAAACTGTCTTTCATATCTCTGTGGCAATATTGTGACTACTAATTTGTACTTTCTAATCTCTTTAACTCTTATTTTACTTAATAATGGCCCCAAAGTGCAAGGACAGTGATGCTGGCAATTCAGATGTGCCAAAGAGAAGCCATAAAGTGCTCCCTTTACGTGAAAAGGTGAACATAGTAAAGAAAAAAATCATATGCTGAGGTTATTAAGATCTATGGTAAGAATGAATCTTTTATTCATGAAGTTGCCTAATTTAGAAATTAAACTTTATCATAAATATGTATAGGAAAATACATAGTATATATAGGGTCCCGTACTATCCACGGTCTAGGCACGCACTGGGGGCCTTGGAACGTATCTGCAGCTAAGGGGAAGCTACTGTAGATTGTAATGACTAACTTTGGAGTATCGAAAAGATTAAATAAAACAATATATGAAAAGTGTTTAGCACAGTACCCTATTTTCTTCCTTATTGTTGGTGGGGTTACTCTTTACTGAAACTTACGCACACTCAAGGGTTTTTCTTTAAACTTTTATGGTATCTTTAATTATGCCATGCAAGACATTTTCCTCCCTTAAATGAATTTTCGCCATTGAGTTGGGAAGACAGCAGGTGATCCTGTGACCTTTGCGAGTTTTAGAGTTATCTGCAATTGGCACGGGAGGAAAAAGCATACATAGAATCCTCATTCTTACTCCCTGAATTGGTTCTGGTACCAATTCCAATGTGTGTGTGTGGCTTCTCCACACCATTAAGCAATTCTTGGATACCAGCAGGTTGTCCTACAATTAACTCAATTCTGATTCTGTCTACCCAGAGATAGCATCAGATTCCACAGGTTAAGGATTCAGTCCTACATGACTGCCCCCCACCTTCAGACCTCACTTGCAAGCCCAGGCTGTTACCTGTGTTTCTGACCCACCCGCTACAGATTGGAAGTTCCCATGACCTCCTTGGACTTCAGACATCAGTCACAAGTCCAGGTTGTTACCTGTACTAATGACTGACTGTTTACAGATCAGAGGTTCCCGAGACCTCCTCCTTGGGTTCAGTTATTTTGCTAAAGTAGCTCACAGAACTCAGAGAAACATTTTACTTACTAGGTCACTGGTTTAATATAAAATGATGTAACTCAGGAACAGACAGATGGAAAAGATGCATAGGGCAAGTATGGGGAAAGGGTATGGCACTTCCATGTCCTCTACAGGTCCTTTGGAGCCTTCATTACATAGGAATGATTGATTAAACCATTGGCTACTGATTCAACCTCTACCCCCTCTCCCCTCCCTAGAGTCAGGGAGTGGGAGAAAGTTCCAACCCTCTAATCACACAGTTGGCTCCATTGGCAACCAGCCCCCTTCCTTAGGTGCTTTCCAAAAGTCACCTCATTAACAACAAAAGACACCTTTATCACTCTCAGCACTTAGAAAAATCCCTAAGTTTTGAAAGCTGTAAGCCAGGTACTGTGGACAAAGACCAAAGATAAACCAAAGATATTTCTTATAAATTACGATATCCCACTCCCCTTTTAACTAATTTCTTTTGTTAATACTACGGAGCCTGTTTGAGAGAGTCCCACAAACTTTTGGAAATGAGGAAGCCTGGACTCCCTCTCCCTGGACCTTGCGTTTAACTTGTTCTACTCCAGACTGCCATTCGGTTGGGCCCCTCACCTTGGGCTGCCTGTAAGAGTACGGGCCTACTCTGAGTCACCTGGCTTCTCATGGTCTGCTCTGAGGCTGCCTTTATAAAACTTTAAGCTTTCTGGAAGTATGGTATTTTAAGCAGCATTATAGTGTTGTTGTTTTTTTTAATTCATAGTTTTAGGAAGTTTATCATACACCTACTACCAGCATAGCTTTTGGCTAGCTGCTACAAGGATACCAAAAAAAAAAAAAAAAGTATGAACTAGATAAAACAATTTATTTTTTTAAGCTTACAGTGAAAATAAGGACATCTGACCAAACATTAGAAGTAAATGAAAGGCTGAATATCACCAGAAAGTCTGAGTCACCTGGCTTTCTGGCCAAGTTGGAGTGGGGAAGGGATATGGAGATGAGATAAAAGGAAGGAAGGATCCCGCCAAGCTGGAAGGAATCCAGAAACTGGGACAGCATTTGGTTTTGTTCTTTAAGGGTGAGTGTGGTGGGAAGGAAACACAGTCTGGGGTGAAGAGTGTGGATTTCAGGCAGAGGACATAAGTGAAGTTGTTAAAAGACAAGCTGAGACATATTATAAAATTTAAGAGTTTATTTAAGCAAAACTCAATTCCAAACAGGGAGCACCAAACCTGAAGTGGCTAGGAGCACTCCACTGACAGAAGCCAGGGGAAAGGCTTAGACAGAGAAAGTGCAGAAGCAAAGAAAGGAAATTATTTGACTGGCTATAGCTTAAAGCCTAGTTGGCTACTTGTAACTGGTTATCCTTAGTTAGGGTTTTGATTTTGTAACTTTGAGGCACTTACAGGCTTAGATTTCGGTTTGCTGATATAGGTCTCCAGGGCATTAGAGCCACATCAGGCTAATAGCCTCCTTGTTTAATTAATTTAACAAGTTATAGAGCTGGGAAAATGCAAGGCACGTTTTAGTTTGAACTCAGTAATGAGGGGAAACTAGGAGATAACACCAGAATTTGCAAGTCAGATCCTGTCCCTCCTTTGCTTATGGCTTCTCACCTCATTTAGAGAAAAAGCCAAAGTCCCTACAAAGTAGCCTACAAGCTACTACATAATTTGTTTCCCTTCCCCAATTCCCACCACTTTCTCCCTTGCTCCCTCTTCTCTAGCCAGGCCTGTCTCCTGTTGTTCCTTGATCAGGTCAAGAGCCCCAACTCAGGGTGTTTATTTCGTCTGCCCAGAGCGTTCTTCTCCCAAATGGCTGCTGCATGGCTCACCCTTCACTTCAGGTCACCTTTATCAGAAAGGCCTGTCCTGACTTCTCTATATGAACTCCCCTCCCCACTCCTGCTGCTCCTTATTCCACTTACTTTCCTTTATTTTTCTTCATAGTACTTGGGAAGTATGCATATAGGATCACTAGCATCCTGTGGCTTGGTGTTTGCTTGTGAATTGTTTCCTTGTCTTCAGCCAATACAGTATATGTTCTCTGAGGATGAGGACTTAACTTCTGTATCCCCAGGACTCAGGACCAGTGCCTGGCACATAATTCATACTCAAATATTTATTAGATGAGAAAGAAAAACAAGCAAAGAGAGTGTGAAGGAGGGAAGGAGTTAGATAGAGTCCTACAGGCTTTTGCATTCCAGGCAGGGTAATAAAAATTAATTAGTCGGCCGGGTAACCAATGAAGGGTTTGAACTAGGAAGTGAGAGCAAAAGCATTTAGTTTAGGAAGATAAGTTTGGTAATGATGTATAGGATGATTTTTTTTTTTAATTCACATCAACCCCCCTTCCCTAAGTCAGTAGTATGTACTATAGATGTATGTGCCTTTTTTAAAAAATAACTTTTAATTTTGAAATAATTTGACTCAAGAAACTGCTGAAGTAATTGCTAAAATTGCTATAAGCAACTTCCCTTCCTGTACCTTTTCCCCTGTTTGCCCCAATGATAGTATCTTATACTACTGTAGTACATTGTCAAGTCCAGGAAAATGACCTTGGTACCATACTGTTAACTCAGATACAGGCCTTAGTTGGATTTCATCAGACTTTACATGCATTTGTGTGTGTGTATTGGTAGTTCTGTGAAATTTTATCATGTGTAGAAGTGTGCCTTTTAATGTTTCTGCATCTAATTTTGAAGATTTTGAGAACGTGTTAGAAAATATTTAATACCACTTTAATTCTATTCTCCAAGGTTCTTGGTCTCCTACATTTACATATAAATAAACCTAATGGCCTGTTGTTTTATTTTGTATTTCTGTCTGGGTATTTCTTGTAGCCTTTAACACCAAAGATGCTTTTTAAAAATTTTACTTCATAGGTATTAACAATTCATATTACCACATCTTAATTATTATTATTATTATTATTATTTTGAAATCAATACATTATATTATTATTTTTTCCATTGGTCATTTGTCTACTTAACAAACCTTCATATCTTTTCTGATAGTAAAATATTTCTATAAGACTGTTAGTAGGGTTCTGATGTTTTTCCTTTGCCTATCCTGCCTTACTAATTAGAAATATATTGCTGGTCAATAATTTACTAAAAATTTCAGATTTGGGAAGGATAATGGGTGGAAAGGAGATTAGCTAAACTGTTTCAAGTCCTGTATTCATCCTTTTAAAAATCAAACTTCTAATGATTTTAGATATTCTGCTAAGCATATTATTTTACTGAAAACCCATCTTAATTAGTTTTTGTATACTGTGGAACATACTTGTCTTTTATTTATGGACTTTATAAAACAAAGTGTTCAAGTTAAAGTCTTATACTGTAATTTCTGCACTGTGCTATATATGTGGCATTATATATTACTTTGTGTCCTATGTGAGATTTTATGCACACACAGACATACTTAGATCTTGCTGATGTTTAAGGTAATAATTGATGTCCTCAATAAGATGCTGGATTAATATGCAGGCCTATGTGTGACAGTTGAAGAAAAACTAAGGTCTATGTGAACATACTTCATACATTTCTTACAGGTTCTGAGTTCTGTCCGTACAGAATGGGATCCACTTGATGTTCGCTTTGGCACCAAACAGACTTATCAGGTGTTGACAGTGGAGCACTCCATCAGTGTAGACAAAGAGCCCATGGCTGACAGCTGCATCTATGAATGTGTTCGGAACAAAATCCAGTGTGTCTCAGTCACCAGAATACCACTCAGATCAAAGGCCATTAGCTGCTGCAGGAACATTACTGAAGACAAACTGATTTTGGGCTGTGAAGATTCTTCAGTAATTCTTTATGAAACTCACCGTAGAGTGACTCTCTTAGCCCAGGCTGAACTTCTGCCTTCATTAATAAGCTGCCACCCAAGTGGCACAATTCTGCTAGTTGGCAGCAGCCAAGGAGAGCTGCAAATTTTTGATATGGCTCTATCCCCTATTCACATCCAGCTCTTGGCTGAAGACCGCTCACCTAGGGAGACTCTGCAATTCAATAAATGTTTTGATGTTTCCAGCAGTCTTGTTCAAATGCAGTGGATAGCTCCGCAAGTTGTTTCTCAGAAGCCTGAAAGTGGGGACATCTTTGATCTCCTCTTCCTCAGATTTGACAGAGGACCTTTGGGTGTACTTTTGTTTAAACTTGGTAAGTCAAGGAAGTTGGTGAGTAAGTAAATTAAAGCGTCTATGATGGTGACATTATAATTAAGGCAATAAAACAATTCTTAGAGTGTAGATTTCCTATTTGTCATCCCATAAATACGCTTGCCTCTCAAACATTTTATATAGTTTCCTTAACAAAGCTTTGTGGATGATTTTCTAAATGTCAAGGAACATTAGATATTGAAGAATTTAGAAATTGTGCTAAGTAGCCATTGTAATGAATAAAAAGCCTGAAACTTCACATTTGATACTTATCAAAATAAACTGTCTACTAAAAAAATCCCTTAATAAATAGGTATGTGAATATTTTAAAAGCACTTAATATGCCCACTAAAAATTGTGGGTGGTAGGAATGTAACACTTTTTCTATTAAAATTATTTTAGATTATAGGTGTCCATTGCTTCCTAGATAGGAATTGTTTAAAGCAAGTGTTTTGAAAGAGAAAGCAAATGTTTAATTAGAATTTGCTAAATATATTTGAATAACTTGTTTTGTTTCCCTTTTAGATAAAAATATGCAAAAGGATTTATCAATATTATGAAAATTGTTTATTAATATAGCCCATTTCAATCAGGAAACTTTAAAATAAAATTTTATTATGATTTATTTACCTTTTGTAGTTTTATATTACCAGCTATGCCCTGGAATACATGATATTCTTTAGGTAGTTTTGTATAATTTAACATTTTTGAAAGAACCTCACTTAGGTTTAAAAACAAAGATTTTAATTAATGCACATTACTGCTACTTTAAAACCCCTTACAGGATTTGGCTCTGTGGCACAAAGTTAAATTTCTAAGACATTGTAGTATTTATTAAATAGCTGTCAGTTTACTTTGTTTTTTTACGGATCTACTTGCTTCTGAAATTAAATATATGAAATAAATCTATTGAAAATGACTTGATTAACCTGAAAAATATAGTGGACATTATAAATATAAGGGCTATGTTTTGTCACATAACAAAATACAACTAAATTTATTTGTAATGTTAATATTGTCCAAGAAAAAATGTTTGGAATCTCATTTATTATGAGATTATCCAGTTCTACTTTGCCCCACTGCATGTTTAACAGGTGTATGTCTCCATACACAACACTTATTAAAGTGGATGTTAGATGTTTTGCATGTCTGTTAAAACACACACACACACACACACACACACACACACACACACACACACACACACACCTTTTATAAATTACCTAGTTACCTGTCAAACAAAAAGCTGTCTGCCCACATATACCTAGCTTTTCTCCAGTCATCCCTTATGGGCCTACTCACAACAGCTTTTGCAAAAAGCACAGCTTTCTCTTCCTATCTCTAGCACATTTGCCTTCTTACTAAAGTAAACAGGCTCTTGGTGTAGGGATTTAGAGGGCTTCCTGCTAATTGCCAGCTTGTAAACTTAATTGGACTGTCTCCCTGGGCACTGTTCCTAAATCAATTAGGCAATGAGTTGGCTGTCACCTCTTTTTCCCAAGAAGGTCTCTTGGAAGAGTATTATCCAATAGAAGTCAAGCATTCAAATGAAAAGGTGATAACTTCTGCAACTGACATTTATCATTTAAATTTTATTTTTAATATGATTCTTATGTTTTATAGGATAAGGAAGTTTTATAGCACTCACAAGTGCTTTAAAAGATCTAAATATGGAGTTTCCTAGGATTTTTTAAATGTATTGTAAGATTAATGTTTATTACAGATTATTTTTTTTTCTCCTTAGAAAGAGTAGATTCCTTGAAACGGTAGATTCCAACTAACAGTTCTCTCCCTCTTTTTTTTTTTTTTTTTTTAAAGAAAACCCCATTTAAATGACAGATTTTTCTTAGGATCTGCTACTAAATACATCCAAAAATTTTAATATACTTCTTGAATTAACACAGTACTGATTCTGGGCATCCATGTGGAATTTTCATGTATAATTCAAGTTACTGCATATATAAACAGGTAGTTGCATGTGCAGTTTCCCTACAAGGGAGTATTTATGAGATTTTTTTCATATGCTTGTTATGCAGGCCTTTGGAAAATTTTACATGAAAGGTATAGCTTACAATTTAAGAAGCTGAGCTAGATCATAGTTTAAAATAGAACGTTGTCATATGTAAACGTGGCAGTGGCTGGTGCCAGGGTGCTAAGATTTTTGGAGTTTGACACTTAGAACAGGTCAGTTAGTGTAATGTTGAAGGAAAACTGTTCGAAGGCTAGAGCTTCCAGTCTAAGTTTTTAAAATCATCGATCAAGTGCATTGGGGATTAAAAGGCTATCACCACTGTTATTAGAATATTTTTTTGTTAGTTTCAGTGTACAACACAGTGCGATAGTTATATTTTTTACCCCTCAAAGCGACAATCCTCCTCCCCATATCATACATATCTATTACAGTTCCATTGACTCCACTCCCACACTCTACTCCACATCCCATGACTATATATATATATATATTCAATTATAGTTGACATACAATATTATATAACATCAGCTTCAGGTATTAGAATAATTTGATGAATATGTCTTCAGGAGGGAGCTAAAAGTGTCATCCTCCCATATAGAAGCCAAGAAGTACTATTTTATACAAAGCAATATGTAACCATAATTTCTTTACCTGACAATCATTATTTCATATTTTCACATATATAGACTGAATTTTTTTTAAAGTGCTGTAATTATATCATCAAGATATTAAAGCTTCTCCATTCTCAACAGTACCTTTTGCAACCTCCGTTGCTCTCTTTAAACTCACATGATCAGCTTCCTGCTCCCTCAACAGAGAATCTCATCTTTTATTTGGCTCTTCATTAAGCTCATCTGCTCCTCGGTCACTCATCTCCCACCCAACCAACCGATTAAGCAACCACTTATGTACATAAACCTTCTCATTCCAATGGAAGAAGAGCCCTTCCTCATGTCCAAGATGAGTTCCACGACTACTTCCACTCTGGATCCCACAGCATCCCCTTTGACACCTTCACTTTGTTACCCGCCCCACTCCCCTAGCAAATCTTGCTACATCAGCAGATACAGGCCCAAACCACACCATAAAACAAACAAACACATCTCTTCCTTTAATTTCCTGTTTTACCATAATTAATCAGTGGCCCTCAGTCTGTAATCTTCCTTCTTATCTTCCCACCTTCTCCTCTCTGCCCCCCCCCACCCCCACCCCGTTAATCTAACAGTGCAGATTTGGTTGTGGATTCTCCAGCCTGAAATCCTTCAGTAGTTAATAAGCCCTTGTCTGCCTCTCAGATTTCATCTCCCCAGCTGGGCTGCACTAGTGTAGCTGCCCAGTCACTCCATGTGCTCTCATACTTCCTCTTTCCTGTGTGACGTTTAGTATTTCATCTACCTAGTGTGCCCCGCAATGCTCTCACAGAGCCTGTAAAGTTGGGAAAAGGTTAAATGTTCAAGCGATGATATTAAGAAATAGTTAAAGCTAACATCTTCCCTCTCGTATTTTGAAAACCAGCGGCAGCGTGTGTTTGTGCGTGTGTGTCTGTCACTAAAAAACTAGTATGACCTGAAACTAAAAAAAAAACACCAGAAAAAAACCTAGTATGATTTTTCTCTTAGAAATTTTGTATGAAGTATTCTTTCCTCAAAACAGTTGTTTTTAATGAGTTATTTAAATATTATACTTCACCCAGGTGGTAGTTGGTGGTAAATTATTGCTGGAAAGAAATGTCAGATACTTTATCATATTCCTAGTCATCCTAAAATTGGATATCATATAATATCAAATGGACTGCTACAGTATTCCAGGCACGTTCTGTATTCTTCAAACTAGAGAGATGATGGATTTTTAATTCAAGTTTATTGAGATATAATTTACATAAAATCAAATGTACCTATTTTAATGTACAGTTCAGTGAGTTCTGACAAATTTATATATTCCAATGATTACCACCACAAGATATAGAACATTTCCATCACCCCCCCAAAATTCTCTCAGGCCTTTTGCAGTCAATCCCTGTCCCCCTCAAACCTGAAGAGCTTTGATCTCGTTTCTGTTATCACAGATTAGATTTGCTTTTTCTAGAATTTCATAGAAATGAACCCATAAAATAATCTTTTGTGTCTTGCTTTCACTTGGCATGTGAGAATCTTCCATATTGGTGTGTATATCTGTAAATTTGCCTTTATTGAGTGGTATTCCATTATATAGATGAACCACAATTTGTGTATCTTTTCAAACATTGATGGACCTTTGGGTTGTTTCCTGATCGAAGCTAATGTACAGGTCTTTATATGGACATATATCTTAAATTCTCTCGAGAAAAACCAGGAGTAGAATGGCTGTGCCATATGCTTAGTGTATGTTTAACTTAAGAAGCAACAGACTATTTTGGAGTTCCAATTGCTCCACATTTTCGGTAACACTTGGCATTCATGGTCTTTTTAATTTAAGCCATTCTAGTGGGTGTGTAATGATGTTAATTTGCATTTCCCTGATGACTGTTGGAGGTGAACATCCTTTTCTGAGCTTATTTGCCATGTATCTTCTCTGATGAAGTAGATCTTCAAATCTTTTGCCCAAATTTAATTTGATTATTTATTACTGAATTGTAAGACTTTTTGTATATTGTGAATATAAGTCTTTTGTAAGATACTAGGATTTTGAATATTTTCTTCCAGTCTGCAGTTTACCTTTTCATGTTCTTAACAGTGTGTTTTGGGTAGCAGAAGTTTTAACTTCAATGAAAACCAGTTCTTAAATTTCTTTATTTTATGGCTTGTGCTTTTTATGGCCTAAGAAATCTTTGTCCAATCCTCTTTTCTTCTAGAAGTTTTATGGTTTTAGTTTGTACAGTTAGGTCTATGGTCTGTTTCAAATTAATTATTTGCATATGGTGTGAGGTATGGGTTGAAATAAATTTTTTAATATAAATATTCAATTGTTCCAGCACCAACTGTTGGAAAGATTAGCCCTTCTCCATTGAATTACCTTGACCATATGTATGTGTGTCCAAGAATAGACTGTTTTCTCTTTCACTGATCTAATGTCTATACTGAAAGGAGTACCACATTGTCTTAATTACTGTGATTTTACAGTGTATCTGGAAATCAGGTTCCATTAGTCCCCCTACTTTGTTCTTCTTTTTCAAAATTGTTTTGGCTACTCTAGATCTTTGAATTTCTATGTAAAATTTAAAACTGACTTGTCAGTTTCTGCAAAAACACCTCATAGATTTTTGATTGGGATTATTTTGAATCTATAGATCAATTTAGGGTGGAATAACAATTTAACAATATTGAGTTTCCTGATCCATAACCATAGTATCTGTCTCCATTTGTTCAGGTATTCTTTAATTTCTCTCAGCAGTGTTTTAATTTTAAGTGTAAAGATCTTATACATATTTTGTTCATGTTTTTGGATGCTGTTAAAGTAGTATTTTTAATTACAGTTTTTAATTGTTCATTGGGGTTATATACAAATAAAACTTTAAAATATAGGCATGTATGTCTTACAACCCTGTTAAATTCATTTCTTACTGCTAGTAACTTTTTCGTAGGTTCCATAGGATTTTCTACATAGATTATAATGACAATGGCAATTAAAAACAGTTTTACATCTTCTTATCCAGCCGGTATGCCTTTTATTTTGTTTCTTCCCTTATTATACTAGCTTGTTCCTCCAGTATCTATTAAATAGAAGTTGCAAGAGAAGATATCCTTGGTTTGTTTCCAATCTTCGGTGGAAAGCATTTAATCTTTCACTATAAATATGTTATTAGGTTGAGGGAGTCCCCTTCCAGTCCTTGTCTGCTGAGATATTATCTTGAGTGGATGTTGAAATTTTTCAAGTGCTTTTTCTGCATCTATTGGAGTGATTATATGGGGTTTTTTTTTTTGGTCTTATAGTGAATTGTATTATTTTTAGATGTTTCAGTGACCTTGTATTTGTGGGATAAATCTCTCTTGTTCATGATGTATTATCTATTTAATATCTTACTGATTTGCTAATATTTTGTTAACAATTTTTGTATGTTTATGGGAGATATTGGTGTGTGGTTTTCCTTTTCCTGTAATGTTTTTGTCATTTTTGGTATCAGTGTAATGCTAACATCATGAAATAAGTTGGGAAATGCTCCCTCCTCTTATATTTTGAGTTTTGTACAGTTGATATCATTTCTTCTTTTAATGTTTGAGAGAATTGACCAGTGAAGGCATCCGGATATGCAGGCTGTATGTGTACATATATGTGTATTTAAATGTTTTGTTTCTTTTTTTTTTTAACTATAAATTCAAATCCAAATAACAAAGGGTCATTCATGTTATCTATTCCTTCTTGAATGAGCATTGATAGTTTAAGTCATTCAAGGAGCCATTTCATTTAAGTTATTTTTATTTGAGTAAACTTATATTATTCACATATTTTTTAATGTCTAGTTCTGTAGTGATTATTCTTGATATTGGTAAGTTGTGTCTTCTCTCTTTTTGTCTCAATTTAGGCAGAGGTTGGTCAATTTTACTGATCGTTTCAAAGAACCAGCTTTTGAGTTCATCTCTTTTCTCTAGTCTTTGTTTATTTTCTATTTATTTTTATTATTTCCTTCTATTTACTTTAAGACTAATTTACTCTTCTTTCCTTAGGTTCTTAATGTGGAAGCTTGGATTGTTGATTTTAGACCTTTCTTCTTTTCTAATTGAAACATTTAAAGCTATAATAGAAATTTCCCTCTAGGTACTGCCACAGTCACATCTTACAAATTTTGATGTTATACGAGCATTTTAATTTTTATTTCAAAATATTTTCTAATTTACTTTGCAATTTCTTCTTTGACTTATAGATTATTTAGAAGAATGTTGATTAATTTCTAAATATTTGGAGATTTTCCAGATATCTTTCTCTATTGATATGTAATTCTGTTGTGGTCAGAGAATATACTCTGTATGAGTTTAAAACATTTAAATTTATTGAGGCTTGTTTTATCACCCAGAATATGCTCCATCTTGGTTGATGTTCTTTGTATACTTAAAAAGAATGTCTATTCTGTTGTTGTGTGAAGTGTTTTATATATGTCAACTAGATAAAAATCATTGATAGTGTTATTCAAGTATTTTCTATTTTTACTGATTTTCTGTTTATATATTCTCTCAACCAATGAGAGAGAAGTGATGAAATCTCCAACCATCATTGTAGAATTGACTTTTTCTCCTTTTAGTTCTATCAGTTTTTGTTTTATTATTTCAGAGCTCTGTTATTAGGTGCATTTAGACTATCTTTCTTCATGAATTTTCAACTCTTTATTATAAAGGAATAGAATTTTAGGTTAATTCATTTTTATCTCTCAACATTTAAAAAATGTCTTGCTGTTGTCTTCTGGCTTGCATAATTTCAGAATTAAAATTTGCAATTATTCATATCTTTCTCTGTACATCATGTGTCCTTTTTTGGCTACTTTTTAAGATTTTTCTCTTTACCACCTTTTGCATAATTTGATTATGTTTATATTATATGTTAGCTTTTCTTCTTAAAAATCAGTTCTTTCTCTTGCTAGAAGTATTGCTTAGGGTATAGACAGAGTCAACAGATTTCAGATATTTTCAGTTTCCTGCAAAGTTTCTACACATTAATATCTACTGCCAAGGAACCACCCTGATTTATGAGGACTTCCAGTGCTTGACTGCAGGCTCATGAAGGCTTTTGGACAGTACCATTCATTGATTCTACCAGCACAAAAAAAGAATAGGATAGTTTTATTGCTTAGTAGTCAGGCCAATTCCCCAGATTCCCTATCAAGCTTAGTCCTATTAGATATAGCACACGTTCTCACTTTGATGTGACCTGAAGTTGCTATGAAGCATTTGGACATTTTTCTCATGCGCTAATATATTTTTTAAAATCCTGAAACCTATAACTATTGCAGTTAAATGATGATGATAGTAATGAAAAGAATTGCAGTAATACTTTATGTACTTTACAGTTTACCAGTGATTTCACATACATTTTCTCATTTAGTTTTATGATTATTTGTACCCAGAAGTTTTTGTAGACTCTCTCAAATCCATAAACATTGGCTGAAGAAAAAAGGATTTTATAGCCAGCCATTTAAAAAATATTTTTTAAAATAATGACCTGCTTAAAAGTCCTAGTATTTATTGCCATTTAATTACACAGAAATTGTTAATTTCAAATGAGATAAGCCTTGTCTCATTTGAAATAAAACTAGAACAGAATACTCCTCCATGTGTTTTGTGTTCTTGTTCCTCCAAGATTAGAAGTGGATTTTCTTTCATTTAAAAAGAATAAACAACTGTACTTATATTTTACCAAGGCATTTTATAGCAAATATTAGTTGTGAAGGGGATCAATAGCAGGATTAATACTGGTCATTTCTTACTTTAATAGAAGAGAATACTCTCTTAATGCCAATGTAAAATAAATTGGTATGTGGTATCTATGAAGAAACTATCAATTGAGAGTACCCATTAATAAAAACAGTTATATTTGTCACGGATATTTGTACATTTGTAACTATTCCTCCCCCTACCCCCCCTCAAGTACATGGGCTAAAGACTAGATGCAATTTAGAATTAATGACTTTGGTCAGTAAGAATTTTGTTCACATCAAAATCCTGTTTTTAAATGTATATAATAGAGGCCTAAACAATTGATGGGAATAATAGGGTTAGCTATTGTGGTCTACCTAAAAATTCTTCTCATGCTTATTCACTTTTATTCTAAGCAGTTTGATTATGGAGAGTATAAATCAGTTAATATGTGCTGAAATGATTAGGGTAAGCTAGATAGAGTTGGTAGGTGTTATTGAAAATGAACCTTTAACCACAGAGCCATATTACTCTTGGCCCCCCAGATCCCACATGTCTAGCACTTACGTAAGAAATGGTTACTGTATTTTTCCTTTATGGAAAAGTTAACTCTGTTTTTGTTATTCTACTTTTTATTGTTAAAAGATTTACTTGGTTTCGCTTTTTTTGTGGCAGGTATCTTCACACGAGGACAGCTGGGCCTGGTAGACATTGTCTTCCAATACATTCACTGTGATGAGATCTATGAGGCAATAAACATACTAAGCAGTATGAACTGGGACACTCTGGGCCACCAGTGCTTTATCAGCATGAGTGCCATTGTAAACCATCTTCTTAGACAAAAGCTCACGCCAGAGAGAGAAGGTCAGACTTGAAATATTTCATAAATGGGTCTTTTGTATACATGAAGTACATTTTATTGAGTCAGTTATTTTGGGGGGATTTTTTGAGTTATGTTATTAGAGATTAACAAAAATGTTAATGCCCTATTAAAACTGGCAAGATCGGATATCAAACAATTACTCCCACGTGGTACTTAATGTATAGTATTTATCAATATAAAGAACAACTTTTTTGTTATGTACCTATGTTGGAACTCACAATGCAGTCATTGTGTTTTTCAATCTAAGCTCATGTGTGGAATATGCTCGGATTTCAAACTTTGATCAAGAATTTCATGTACTCTCTAGAATTTGGTAGACAAAGGGTCCCAAACAAAGGTCCTTATTCTTCCTTCACTTTAGACATCAATATTTTTCTCTTCACACCCCACGTCCTTTGTCCAGACAATAGTCCTTACGTGTGTGTGCGTGCGTGTGTGCGTGCGCGCGTGCGCACACATGAATTGCAGTCCAGGCTGCTCCTTCTTGTTTTTGTTCTTGCGTGCAGTTCTGATACCCCTCTGTTCTGCGTGCTTGGATTTCCCGCCCCTCAGTGAGGAATTTTGCCCATAGGATCTCAGATGTTTATTGTCAAAGAGAGAAGATACTGTTTTTATTTTTTTTAAAAAAAGGGGAAAAAATATGTGCCACATACAAAAATGAAATCAGTTTTTTATTTGCCATTTATCCAGCATGTTTTATTATGATTTATTTATTCACTTCATGTAAAATGCACCTAAACATTTTTTCATTTGCATCTTTATTTCAAATCTTTGCAATAAACATTGACATCAGTGTTGGGAAATCATGGCTAATGAGAAACTCCCTAGGTAATTTACAAGGTAGGGAAAACAGAAAATATGTCAAAAGGTCTACTGGAGAGCCTTTCTTCCCTATTTTCTTTGCATGTTTATCGATTTTCTTATTCAATTTTAGTATGTTTCCAAAGTAAGCAAATTGTTTAGATAGAATTATGTATATAGCCTTCGTTTTAGTAATTTTAGAGAAAAATAATAAGAACATGTTCCTTCAGGAAGGCTGCATCGTGGGATGTGGCCCAACTCATAGGAAGCTTACAGTACATATTTTCTTAATGTTAATTGAATGTGCTTTTTGGGAGTAGTCCAACCCATCTATGGAGATTCCAGTATTTCTACAGTGAGAAAATGCCTAGCCATAGTGCTTAGGTACTTAATGGATATTAGTTAAAAATAAAAAGACGAGTATAACTGCAAAATTTTAGGTATTAGGTATTACTGTATTATTTCTGCCTGCAGAGTTATCTCAAGTAATTATTTCTTAGTATTGGTACACTCTCAAGATTAGGTACATAGTAGAAAAAAAAAGAAGAGGCCCTAAAGAAAGCCTGTTATGGTACACATAATCTACATAGAGATCCTAAATTTACAGTTGAAGAAATATGGAGAAAAAATATTTACTGTCACTCAGGACACTGAGAAATTGCTAGCACCTTAGTGAATTTGTATTGTAAGATTCCTGTGTTGTAAGAAAGATTATTAGGGAATTCACAAATGGGCATTATCAGATTCTTGCTTTAATAAAGTATGTTTTTAAGGAAAGATATTGGGGAGAAAGGGAAATAAAAGGCTTGCATGATACTAGGCTATTAAAATAAAATGCTTGCATGACACTGGGTTATCAGAATATGTACATTTTAAGTAAGTAAATGCATTTTTGCCTAAGTAACTGCAAAGCACAATTCTAAAACATTCAGAATTCTTCTCTGTTGAGATTTATTCTTTCTGAACCTAACAAATCTGACATGGTAATTTGTTTTCCTTTTATTAGTGGTACCCAGTGAGCTCTTTTATTTGTAGCTGCTTTGTGGTTATCTTTGATATCTTCATTTCTGCCTTAAACATCAAGCTGGGCTATCTAATGAATCTATAACTGTGCTGGGAGTTACGAATATTCCATGTAGGCTTGAACATTTCAGATGTACAAAACATGCTGTCAAGAAAACAAGCAATGGCAAGAGAATCTGGCTTGTTTTCACAATAGCATTGCTGTATTCAATTTTAATCTAAATTGACTGCTGCTTTGAAAGAAAATACCCCTAAAGTTCATCTTACTTTACTGTCTAGATTTGAGATTAAAAAAAGAAATTACTTACAGCTTAGCCAAGTCCGTAGTAATTACCCTGATGAGGTATTTAATACTTTCAAACCCAAATATGCCTAAAACTAAAGAGTTTTGCTAAATAAAGAATTGTTTATTCAACCCAGTGTTAGTAAGTAAGCGTAAAAATCAGTAGAGTCTTACTGTGAACTGTAGATATGGTCATGTTTCACCATTATGATAATTATTATAATTTCCAGATATTTCTGGGAGGGAACACAACCCCATAGGTATGTCATGGTAAAATTGTGAAGTAGGCAAAATGTGCCTCTTTCTCCTGATCTCCAGTCCTCTGGTTTATCAAACCTGCTCTCCAGTCCTTTCCTAGGAAGGTATCAGGTGACTAAGAGCAGATTAGCATGCCGTCCCTCCCAGGGGTGTTTGCTTTCACACTTGGATGAAACTAACAATCTTGTTGTTTAGGACAGGATTTAGGGAAGATAGAGACTTTCACTGTCTCTTTAAAATTGTAATAGATAGTATTACTCCAGTAAGGTAATTTTTATTTGTATTATTTTTAAAAAACATTTCTAATACTGCTTTCAGTCACCAATGTGGAAAGGTTAGTTTTCCCCTTTCAACTAAAGAGAGAAGATGTTGAGCACACTGTGAGTTGATTTTACTGGAAATACTAGTTCAAACTGTGTTACTTTGATGAGTCACTGTTTTAATTACCCATTTGTGGTGAGAGGTTGGTTCATTATGGATTTCTTCAGTTTTGACAGCTTTTTGTTGCTCAAAGTCATTGTCAGCTTTGCCTCAAGTGAAAGTTTATACACAGGTTTGTTTTTGTACCAGCTGTCATATTTTAATTTCATCTTTCCTGCAACAAGCTCACATTTCATCCAAGTTTGCAAAACCTGACTGACTGCAAACATGAGTATTGTGTTGTAATTGAAGGAGTTTCACTTGTTTAGTGCTGCTATGTTTGAATTCCACAGCACAGCTTGAGGCAAGCCTTGGAACCTTCTATGCTCCAACAAGACCGCTCTTGGATACAACTATATTGGAATATAGAGACCAAATCAGCAAATATGCAAGGAGATTCTTCCACCACTTGCTCAGGTGAATGCTCTTTTTGGATTAATTAGTGTTAGACTAACTTACCTATTTAAGGAACCATCTTCTTGAATTAGAATATTCCATAATATGGCTGGCTATTTTCTAATAATCCACATCCTAAGAGAAAAACAAATCTTCCCTTGATAGCCTTTATTTAATTCGTTCTTGTTTTCCTTTTAAGGAATGTATTTAAAGATTGTTTAAAACTTTTACATCATCAATACACTTTACTATAACTTTCCCTTTAATATGAAAGCAAAATATACCAGCTATGTAAAGTCAATTTTAAAAATGAGAGCTTAATTGTGCTCCTAGCACTAGAGAAATGTTTTAGTTTTACTGAAGCTAAAAGTATGAATGTTCTGTAAAAAGCTCTGAGACAGTCATTAGTTTGCTTTACTTTCAAAATTACTGTGCAAAGACTTGTCTGTTGTCCTCTCATATAATGTGGTAAGTTGCTAGCTTTACTTTGCTTCATTTTCTTTGCTTTAAATGGGTATAATACATTCCTTTAACCTGAGGGATTATATGAAAAATTAGGTAATGTCAAGGCATTACGCTGAGAAAAATAATGTAGAAGTTAAAGGACAAGTATATGTAGCATATTCCATATATATGAAGTTCAAAAAATGGATGAATGAATAGATGGAAGATGAATGGATGGATAGAGATAAGATAGATGATAGATAACATTAGTTTAGAAATACATGTAAATGTGTCAATACTATAATTAAAAGCAAGGACGTGATTAGCACAAAATCTAGGGTAGTGTGGGGGTAGGTAAGAGAAATCTTATAGCAGCAGGCACATGGGAGCCTCCACGGTATTAGTAATGTTCCATTTCTTAAGATAACCAGGGTGTATATCAGGATCCATTAAAAATTATTATACTTTTAAAATGAATAAACAAAATTTGCTCTCTTTATCTGGAAATCCTAGTCAAGGAAGAAATAAATATAGTAACTATGTCAATTTATGCAAATTTTTGCTGAGGTTTTTGTCTATCATCTATTATCTATCTACTATTGTTTAACTTTGATTCAAACCAGAATGTAAATAAAATGTGAACTTACCCCCAACCTGCAAAAAAAATTATTATACTTTTAGTTGAATATATACATTTTGTATACTTTTATATATGATATATTTTATAACAGAAAGTAATAAAATTTTCAACTCCATGTACCAAAAGGAAGTATTACATTGAGTTGAACTTATTTTTAATTTTACTTACAATATAAATCAGTTACAGTTCTATTTAACTCTTTCAAGCAAATCCATGTATAATTTCTCCTTTTTTTCTCAGAACAACCCTGTTAGGGGGATATTATCATTTGACAAATGAGTAAACTATTTATAAACTGGCACTTTGATCTCTACCCAACAGTGAAGCCTGTGGAAAACAGTCTTTTTAAAGCTGAGAGATGTTAATATATGAGTTATGATCTGTAATTGAATCTTGCCCCTTTTTTTGAATGACTTGAGCATATTCTTTGAGATTCTTCACCCTGAATGAGGCAGTTTTCTACATATAAACATATGCCAAAAATACTGTGGCTGTTGTTATATTTATTTGGACTGAGGGCTTTGTTCTTTGCCCTCTTTATTATTTTGTTTTCCCTGTTCCTGGGGAAAATTAATGAATTTACCTCCTGCCTGAAGAGCACAAAAGATTAATATGAAAGAAAAGATGTTTTGAAGACATGCTCTTGGTGGCTTCAGTGTGTTTCTGGCCTGACTTTATGCCATGATTTGGTTGTGCATAAGCATCACATTTCATAATGCTGCTGGCCTTAGAATCCTCATATCCTACTAATATTCACTTTATCTACTAATGTGCAATTAGTTTTGTTCATTGATTATCCTCAAATGCATTATTCTAATTATTTTTTTGGATGTGCTTTGATGAGGTGACTATTATTATTATTGTCATCATTATTAGACTCTAGCTTTTCTGTGTGGTTATATCTGGAATTGAATGTTTTCCTTTGGGGTATATTAGGTTTTTCGTGTTTTCTTTTTTGCATGCTTTGCTACTGTTTCAGTTATAATGAGTGTTTCTTAGTTCTTTTGACAGTAAGCTATACATAGCATTATAAAAAAAAAGAAAAGAAAAGTAAGTTTAGAGGAAATTAAATGAGATAGCTTAAGTTGGAACCATTCTTTTGTTTAATCTGCTGCCAAGAAGTTCTCCTGCTTAAGGGTAGAGAAACAAGCCAAATACTTTTTTGTATTTGTAAAGTGCTAAAATTGCATTAACTGCTTTGGCTAGCCAGTATTTTAATACTCTAAAAAAAAGTATTAGATAATGGGATAAATCCTAAATGGTAAAGACCATCATAGGGGATTTTAAATTGAAGATGAAGAAAAGTGTTGCTGTGTAGAGTAGGGATGTAGCTAAGATCGCTCACTGGTAAAGCTGATGAATCAGATTATTGAGTCCAGATTGGACTCTTTTGGTGAAGAAGAGTGAAATATTGCATTAATTTTAATTTCATGCAGCAATATAAAGGGTGAGGTGATAGTATGAATTTTTGATAACAGAAAAGTATATCATGTGAGTTATTTAAATAATTTTTTTTGTATACAATTTTGTTTGTATCCTGACAATAGAGGAAGTCCATGGACATCTTTTTTTTTTCTTTTGCCCTTTTTGCCTTTTTTGTCTTTAGCAAGTATAAAAAATTATCCTGACTGCCTTTCTCCAAATCCAAATGAATCTAAACTTTAAAACTTACTTCTCATGTCCTTTCCTGACACCTTTTTAATGTGTTTAAAGGGATCAATTTTGATAAAGAAATGCTCTCTATAAATGTGACTCATTGCTCCTAATGTTAAAGATGGAAAGCAGTAGTACAGTCTTGATATGGTAGCTAAATAAAGTGTTTATTATAATAAAATTTTAAAGATGCGATAGTCTAACTTATAAAATCATTAAGTTGGAAGACTCCTACCTATAGAAGGTATCTAGAAAAAAATTCTGTGTCTTCCTTTTCTCTCATGCCCACAACACTTCTGACACCAGAAGTTTTTTTCACACTGACTGACCAATTCTCTGATAGCAGCAAGGTGTTCTACAATTCAATTAAATTCTGACACTAACCAAAGTTGGCATAGACCCCACATGTTAAAGGCTCAGTTCCACAAGTCTGACCCTATGTTAGACACCATTTACAAGTAATAGGTCCTCAGAGTACCCACATTTTCTGTCCCACTTGGCTACAAATTGGAGGTTTCTACTAACCTCCCCTCAGGTTCAATAATTTGCTAGAGCCACTCACAGAACCCAGGAAAACAGCTTACTTGCTCTTGCCAATATTTTAAAGGATACAAATGAACAGCCAGATGAAGAGATGCATGAGGCGAGTTATGTGGGAAAGGGCACGAAGCCTCCTTGTTCTCTCCAGGCCTGCCACTTTCCCAGCACCTGCATGTGTTCACCCGTCCAGAAGCTCTCTAAACCCCCTCCTTTTGTATTTATGGAGGCGTCATTACATGGGCATGGTTGATTAAGTCATGGGCCGTTGGTGATTTATTCAACCTCCAACTTCTCTCCCTTTCTTGGAGGTCTGGGGGTGGGGCTGAAAGCTCCAACCCTCTAATCATGAGGTTGACTCTCCTGATAACCAGCGCCATCTCTAGGGGCTTTCAGAAAGTCACTTCATTAATATAAACTCAGGTATGGTTGAAAGGAGCTTGTTATGAATAACAAAAGACCTTACTTTAACCTTTTTGGCTCTTGTATGTATAATGTGCCATTGAGTTAGCTCTGATTCCTGGTGACCTTATGAATAAGTGATGTCCACAATGTCCTGTCTTTAACAGCTCTGCTCAGCTCCTATAGACTCATGCCTATGGCTTCTTCTTTGGTGTCAATACATCTCATATTTAGTTTTCTTTTCTTGCTGCCTCCTATTTTTCCAGCATTATTGTCTTTTCCAAAGAACCTTGCCTTTTCATGATGTATCTGAAGTAAGATAACTTCAGTTTTGTCATTTTTGCCTACAGAATTATTTCAGGCTTAATTTGCTCTAGGACCCACTTATTCATCTTTCTGGCAGCCCAGGGTATCCATAGAGCTCTCTTCCAACCCTATATTTCAAATGAATCAGTTTTTTTCCTATCACCTGTCTTCACTGTCCAACACTCGCATCCATACATAGTAATTGGGAATAGGAGGGTGTGGATGCTCTTAGCCTTGATCTCTAATGACACACCTTTCTCTTGGTGATCTTTCCTAATTCTTCCATTGCCGCCCTTCTAAGTCTCAGCCTTCTCTTGATTTCTTGGCTGCGGTCTCCATTGAAATTGATGACTGAACCAAGGTAAGCAAAATATTTAATAATTTCAGTGCCTTCATTGTCTGTGTTAAAGTTGTGTATCTCTTCTGTAGTTGTGAGTTTTGTCTTGATGTTCAAATGTAGTTGTGCTTTGGCACTTTCTTCTTTCACTTTCATCAGAATTTGTTTCAAATCATTGCTACTTTCTGGCAGTAAGGTAGTGTCATCTGCATATCTTAAGTTATTGGTATTTCTTCCACCAATTTTTACTCCTCCTTCCTCTGAGTCTAGCACAGTTTTTTTAATATGTTCTCTGTGTAGGTTAAACCAATAGGGAGATAAAATGCACCCTGTCTGACACCTTTGCCTATGGGAAACCATTCAGTCTCTCCATATTCTGTACTAACAGTGGCTTCCTGTCCACAACACAGGTTACCCATTGGGACAACCTATTTCTGAGACATGCCCATTTATTTCAGAGCAACCCATAGCTTTTCATGATCTACACAGTCAAAGGCTTTAATGTGTCTATGAAACATAGACTAACCTTCTGAAATTCTTTGGAGCACTCCAGTCAGTATCCAGTATCACAATTAGGACTCAAGTGCCTCTTCCTTTTCTGAATACAGCTTGAACATTCCGCATTTCTTGCTCTATATAAGGTAGAAGACTTTGTTGCATCACCTTCAGCATCACTTTACTTATGTCGGAAATTAGAGCAAT